TTATTAAAAATAGCCCAATGACTAAATGATGTTTACCTAAAGTTACTAATAAAATTAGAATTTTGAATTATTTGAGGTATTAGAATGAAAATCATAGACAAATGTTAGAACTAATATTTAATGTGTTTAAATATAAGCAGGAGAATAACAGTAATTTCGGTTGAACTGTATTGAACTCTATTGAACTCTATTGAACCCCTGGTTTAATAAATCCCTGCCTTTATCGATGGTCGGTCCGATTTTTAGAACATTATTATTAACAAATTAGATCAATCTAGCCAATTATAGTGTGAATTATCCAATAATTTTACATTTGTTATATGAAATTTACAACAAAGCAAAATAACTTTTTGACTTGTTTATTTTTAAATAAAATAGTAATGTGAATTATTATTTTGGAATAAAAAGATTATTTTTATATATGATATTTTACTAAGACAATTATATACATAAGAAATATAAATAATTAATATTGAGCATTAATTTTGTATAATTGGTAGATAGTTGCAACTGTACTCAACCTGAGAGTATTTAGAGGAGAATATGTAAAACAGAAAATCAAAGAAATTTTTAAAGAAATATATGCACTTACAGTAAATACGAAAACTAGAAATTTGTAGGAGCATGTGATCAACGTTAGCAACATATTATAAAAGATAATTAATACTGGTTATAATATTAACGAGACAGAAAAAGTGAATGTCGTAATTATGACAATCCATTTGCGGTATTTTTCACTTGCTAATAATATTTAAAATAATGACTATGTGAAAACATATTATAAAATTATGTTTGTGTTTTTGTATGAGTGCACAAAAAATCACGCAGATGAGTCATGGCAAAAAGTTTTTGCACACTGAGCGGTATCCCAAATCATTTACTGTAAACGAGAGAATGCAAGGGGTGCATGGTATCACCCATATTAGATTGTATGGGTAGTTGTATAACGTATTACTAGTTATGTAATAAACTGTACCATAATTTAATGGTTTAAGTACTCTTATTTTAGAATTTAATTTCATCATGCGTTGAATTTCATATAGAATTATGAATTTTAATAAACTTATTATTATTCTTTATCATTTTAAAAATATAATTTTTCAAAATGAAAATATACTAATTCTTTTCGGCATTGACCCACTAATTTCGCAGAGTGAATATCGTACAAGCTGAGAAAAAACTACTTAAGGTATTAACTCAGTTCTTTACTTACAATATTTGTTAAATAGATGTTGACTTTATTTCTATTATATTGATATCAACGTAATATGTTTGTATTATACATAATATGACATTTTAAAATAATAAATATATGTACTGTTAAATTAATGAGGATCAAGATAAATAAATATTAAACAAAAGTTGGACTCTTGAATTTGTAACTTTAAAAATTTAGTTGAATCAAAGAACTTTTTCGTTCAATAGTAGAATAATATCCTATGACATGAACTTCTAATGAAAGACAAGCAAGAGTTGTGGCAATTGATAACTATGTTTATTTAAATGAAGCGACATGATTTGGAAGAAAAATAAAATTTGCAAATGTTAAAAATTATTCTTAAACGATGTAAACCAAAGCAGAACATATTTTTTATGGGCCTCATAGCACCGATAGACAATATTTAGTCTATATACAATATCTGATGAAACAAACTAGGGTAGATTATAGGAAATTAGATCTGAACTAAAAGCATATTGTCGGTACCATGAGATATCCCAAAAGTTCATTCTACTATTTTACCTGGGTCTATAAGAGTAGAGATTGCAAAGGTGAAAGAATAATTGAAATTTGAAATAAATATAATACAGAAACGACTTGATAAATACCATTCAGAACCAATTCTTTGTTCAAGTTCAACTATAAGAGTTGAAGAAGCAGATATTTCAGACTAGGGTAGATTATAGGAAATTAGATCTGAACTAAAAGCATATTGTCGGTACCATGAGATATCCCAAAAGTTCATTCTACTATTTTACCTGGGTCTATAAGAGTAGAGATTGCAAAGGTGAAAGAATAATTGAAATTTGAAATAAATATAATACAGAAACGACTTGATAAATACCATTCAGAACCAATTCTTTGTTCAAGTTCAACTATAAGAGTTGAAGAAGCAGATATTTCAGATTTTTAATCTGAAAATAGTGATGATGAATTCTAAAAGTATGTACCTTATTGCTTGCCATGTTGTTGTTAGTAAATTGAGATTGTGCTCTATATGTACATATATTATATTTATGTTGCATATTTATTACAAAATAATAACTTTTATTATTACCTTAAAATAATAATCGATTTATTTGCATTATTGTTTTGAATTTATATTAAGTTAATTCCATTTTTGAATTTATTTGAGTTAGAAGTGATACTGCATAAATATGTTTTCGATCCTCTTCATTTTGTTTTATTGACATTATTTGCTATATTGCCTGTTCGATTTCTGTTTCAGCTTTAGGCAATAAAATAATGGCATCTAGACACTATAGAAGAGATTATTTTAGTCATGGACCACAAGATACTAGTTTGTTACATCACCAACTTCGTCATAGATTTGAGGTTATATGGTATGGAGATGCTGATATACCAGTTTTACGGTGCAGATATTCTAGTGCTGCTCTACACCTGCTGGATAATGTAGATGCACACATAATATCATTTTTGCAATCTAGTGGATTTTATGGAGTATTGCGATTTGGCTTCTTTCAACTAGATTGGCATCTGATCATTGCACTTGTTGAGAGATTGCGACTATAAATTAACACCTTCATGATGCTTGAGGGAGAGTGCACTATCACATTTCAAGATATTGATGTACTTACAGGTTTGTCTATTGAGGGTGACGTTGTGGTTGGCAATACTCGCTTAGAGTGGACAGATGTGTGCGAGGACTTACTAGGAGTGCAATTGACATGTCAATATTTAAGGGGTAGTTTTCTTACTACATCTTAGCTAGTGGAGCAATTCAATGAGGTTTGTGTCAATGCCGACTTAATCAATTCAAAGAGGCATGCACGATCATGTATCATGAGACTGATTAGTGGATCCTTATTAAGTGATAAGACTTCAACAAGAGCCTTGCTCATCTATTTGCCTTTACTTGTTGTTCTTAACAGGGTAGTATATTATAGTTGGGGTGGGACAGTCTTAGCCTATTTGTATAGGGAGCTATGTCATGCAACTGATCCTTTAGTCTCAGTAATTAGCAGTGCCTTATTTATTCTTCAAATTTTGGCTTGGGAGAGATTTACAATAATTGCTTCTACTATAACTGACCCTAACCATCACCTTGATGCTCCACTGGGTAGTAGGTAATTTCAAATTGAATAAAACTTTTATCTAGATGAAAATGCCATATAAATAGTCATGTTATTTTATGGCAGGTGAAGCAACGCTAGTCAAATAACATAGGTCACTATCCACGTGCTTGTTCACATTAGATGACAATTTGATAGGACATCATATCAACAGGTATGATACCTCATAATTTTCAGTATGAAATGTATTTTGTTCCCTTCTTGAAACTAGTGATTGAAAAATTTTCTTTACTTATTTTCAATTACAGATAAGATAAGAATAATACTATAACAATGTTCCTGAAGCACTCTCAGCATATTGTCTACAAGGTCGTGGTATTTGGAGAGCACAAGTCCCTTTACTATGTTTTCATATTGTTGAGTGGCATTATCCAAAAAGGTAATGCACCAATTCGGGATGCAGCAGTTAATCCCTCACCAGCCCCAAAATGATGATGACCTTCACCTAACAGATCTTCAATAGTCTGAGTTTAACTGGATCGCGACCAATGCAACTTGGATTTCACTTTGGGCGACTGTAGAAGCTCAATTTTTGCCCCAAAAAGACTCAGTGATGATATCCTTTTTGTGATAAAATAAGTTTGAGACATCCGATGAATTTGATTCTCAGACCAATGATCCGAGTTTAAGAAATGTGACTCGTCGGGTAATTTTCACATTTTCAGGGTCCACATCAAAACATGGCCTGGAAAGCATCTAAGGTGTGCCCATAACGCATCCCAGTGTATTGCCTCGTTTTGCATGTCGCCCAGGCTGATTTCGTGAAAAGTGGCTCAGCTCATTTCGGGGCCCATCAGTAGCCTGTGCCACATAAGCCTTAAAACTAGGGCGACCTAGCAACTCATTTGCTTATAAATATACTAAGGGTCTAGGCAAATGGGGAAGAGTCGATTGCTTAATAAAACTCTTGCAATTTTTTTTCTCAAACCTCTTAATCAAAATCTATAACAAGTTTTATAGATTTAGTTAAAGAGAGAATAGATTTTTATTAAAAAATTCAGTGGGTTTGTAATCAATCTTTCTAAAACACTAATCAAACAAAATAAACTTTGGATCAGTAGACAAAGATCAAAGCTTATTGGATATTCCTTGATATTCCTTGCCAGTTTCAATCCAATCTAAAGTTTTTCTTCAAAACAAGGTAAAATGAGAGCCTAAACCCTTATTTTTCATCTTTTTCTTTTCTTTGGTGACCTAAATCACTATTCTTAAGTCTGGTTGTGAGGAAAACCCGAGAATAACCAAAAAGGGGCTTGTCTGCGTTGAAGTGGCACTATAAATAATCAAGTGGTGCAAGCCACTACGTGTGGCGTGTGCCACAAGCAATGGCTCTGCGCTACTTCTTTATAGACAGCATTTGAGGCTCTATTTTTTGAGTTTTTTAATCAGGGCAAGACCTGCACACCACTACGTTTGGTGCACGCCACTTCTAGTGGCATCCAGGTCTTCATTTCAAAATGTCAGAAACCTAAAATCAATAACTCAACTTTGAGTCTGGGATCCAATTGAGTCAAGCATTAAGCATCCTAGTTTAAAGTGTGTATAGAACTCATTTTTTATCCGAATGAGCAAATAAATAACAAATAAATATAACTTATATTTCACTTATGTTTTTTTTCTCAGCATATATCCATCCTCTCGCGCATCAAGGCAAATTATGAGGATAATCAAGCCACATCTCGTTAAAGATGGATACACATGGGATGCCGTACCACAAGAGCCGAGAGACTTTTATTGGGAAGAGTTTTAGGTACGATTTGGTTCAAGTTATATCTTCATTCAATGTAATTAATAATCAAGATACATCTCTTTATTGAAATTTTATTTTTCATTTTTACAGAAGCATTTGGTATGGGAAGAGGCCATTACGGCTATGCTAAAGTTTTATTAGTAACGATTTCGTTCAAGTTATATCGTTCATTCAATGTAATAATAATCAGATAACATGCCTCTTTATTGAAATTTTTATTATGTAATTAATAATCAAGATACATCTCTTTATTGAAATTTTATTTTTCATTTTTACAGAAGCATTTGGTATGGGAAGAGGCCATTACGGCTATGCTAAAAGTGGCCTGGGAGAAATTGTGCGCTCTACGGTATGCTGTATTCACCTATAGGATGCAAAAAAGCGGTAAGAAGTAGCAGTGCGTGTCTCAGGAGATATGAGAGAGTTGGCCGAAGGCTTGGAAGGATCTTACATTCAAGAGAAAGTGTGACATATTTGCACGAAACAGATGCAGTGAGACTAGCGGTGACGAAGCAGGACCTTCTCGACATACAGGCGGATCAATATTTGTGAGTCAACTAGTGAGTCAACTAGTTAGTGAGTCAACTAGTTATAGGACCTTCTCGACATACCTCTCGATTATTAGTGAGTCAACTAGTTACAGTTACATTTATTGATGTTCAATAAAATGACAACATATTAATACATCATGTATAATTAAATTCATTACAGGCTAAAAAATATGGTCATGAGCCCACACCGATGGAGGTGTTCACTTACACTCACACAAAGGACCACGACGGAAATACGTTTGTCGACAAACGTGCGTTGGGTGTCAATGTAAGTAACAATAAAGAATCACGACGGAAAATTACGTTTTGTCGACAAACGGTTGCGTTGGGTGGTCAATTGTTAAAGTAACAATAAAGAAATATATCATTTTTAGCTTTTTTTAGTCCCTATTCTCTTACGTGTAAAGTTCAAATATATATCAACCTTGCAACTTGCATTGAATTAATTAATTGTTTTTGTTTTTCGGAGAACCTATAGTACACGCTTGGCGGCTGTTGTTTCTTCTCACGCTGGATCTTGAAGCGCTCGAGTCAAGATTTGAATGAGCTCTAGCACTTTATCTGGAGTCGTAGGGGGTGGAAAGAAGAGGAAAGTCTAAAAATTGGCATCATAAGGTCTCAGGCATCAAATTTTACCGCAGCTCAGCATCTGACACTTCCTGCAATAATCTTTCCTAACTAACGACCGTAGCATCCCGACGACCATGTGTTCACTTACACTCACACAAAGGACCACGACGGAAATACGTTTGTCGACAAACGTGCGTTGGGTGTCAATGTAAGTAACAATAAAGAATATATACATTTACTTTTTAGTCTTCTCTTACGTGTACAAGTTCAATATAATCAACCTTGCAACTGCATTGATTAATTAATTTGTTGTTTTTAGGAGAACTATAGTACAGCTTGCGAGCGTGTTGTTTCTTCTCAGGCTGGATCTGAAGCTGAGTCAAGATTTGATGAGCTAGCACTTTATCTGGAGGTCGTAGGGGGTGAAAGGAAGAGGAAAGTCTATGGCATCAGGTCTCAGGCATCACAATTTTACCGCAGCTCAGCATCTGACGCTTCTGCAACTTCCTCACGACCACATCCCGACGACAGTGTCGAGGAGATTAGTGCATTACGGGCTCATGTTGATGAGCAAGAGAGATAACTTGCAGAGTTTAAAGCGCATGTCATGCGGATGTCCGGTCAGTATGGTGCTGGTACTTCTTTCTCTGCTCCTTCGCCTGCTACAGATCAAGATGTTTCTACAGCTCTGCATCATCCATTATCGTCTCCTCTTGATCCTGATACTGCAAACGATACCTTGGTCACTCCTGCCGACTCTACAACACATCCAGGAGATACTCTTGCCGACGCTACGACAATGGATCGTGTAGAGGACCGACCTCATAGATTTGATTTCGGACCTTTTTTAGCTTTCTGTAATTTTTTCATATTTTGTATAGCACATTACATTAACAATTCCATTCTTACATTGTTATTCTATTGTGATTTTGATGATGATGCTTATGATTGTGATGTATATATATGTCGATTTTTGACAGCTGGAAAAAATTATGGTTTTTAATATTATTAAGTTATTTTTTTCCTGTAATTATATTTTGTGACCGACTAGCGACCGAACTGCAACCAAAATTATAACCGTTGAATTTAAATTTGCGACAGATCACCAACCAATCACTTTCAAAATTAGCGACCGATTTGCGATTGCTTTTCAAAATTGCGACCAACACAATCTGCAACCAATTTGCGACAAGCTTTCAGAAAGGAAATGCGACGAAAATTAGCGACTGATATTTATAATTTTATGGCTGATTATAAAGCCCTTCTCAATTAGCAGCCTAAACCCTTGTTACTTAAAGGGCGGCCCTTGAAACAGAATTTGAGAAATTAGTCGGATATGCTGCCATAAAGTCATGCTTTTCATCCAATTACAGGCGCAGAGAGCTAAGATAAAGTAGCTAAATAGAGCTAGGCGACTCAATTGCTATTCGACCAAGCTTAGTGGGTTTGTGCAGGCTCGTCGAGACCTGAGGTCGGTTGCTAATATAAGACCGCTTAGTAAATCGGTTACAAAATTATTTGAGATGAGCACTTTTGTGATCGATTCATGTCTGTCGCAAATCGGTCGCTAAGTCCATTTAGAGATCGATTTCTCATATTTTACGAATGATTTGTCAGTCACAATTTAGCAATTTTTTTTTAGTGTAATGCTTAATGATGGGTGTATTTGTTCATCAACCATGATGAACATCAAGACTTTGAACTCTAATCTTGTTTAAACCTTTAAATTAACGCTTTTAGTTTACTGTTCTTTTATCTTTATGCACTTTAATTTTCAGTACTGTACTTTTATGCATTTTACTTCAACGTTCTTTAGTTTTTATTAATTTAACCGTTTAACCCTAGTTTAGAACATTTTAACATTGACATTCATCATTTCTATCATTATTAATGACTGTGGTTGTCATTTAATTTTTAAGGTTGAATGTATTCCGTGTTTATGATTGATACTTTAAGTTTATTCATTGCTCTAATTTTAAGCTTAATATAAAGACCTTAATGGGTCCTATTATTGCATATTTATAATAATTAATGGGTTGGGTGATTGTTTGAGAAATTAATTGAGTAGAATGTACATTTAAGAATTGGTTGTAATTCTTTTCTCCTTCCCCCCTTCTTTGAATGATTTATTTTATGCTTCCTGTATGGAACAATATGCTTGCTTGCCATGATCTTTTGAAAATGTATAAAATGTTTTACATCTCAATTAGAGTTAATCACATTATTAATTATTGTGAATGAGTGGACAATGAAGGAGGCCGATTTTCAATTGGGCGATTTGGGTGCCTAATCCCTTCCTGATACCATACCAAACTCCCTTACCCAGTCTCCGGTTAAAACCAAATTAGTCGATTTCAAAGAACCGATTGATTCGCGATATTTTCCCTAAAGAGGGCGGCGACTTCAAATAAAAAATCTTACTAAAGTAAAAGCCATTTTCAAAATCCCTTTTCGAAAATAATTGTAATTTCTTAGGATTAATGAATGAGTCTAACAAAAGAGAACTAATTTAATAAATTAAAAAGAACCAAGCCCATTTTATTCCTTTACGAAAAAACCCATTGTCCTCAGCGACTCGTAGTAACAAAGTTGTTCCCAGCACACCCACTACACAGTCACTCCACAATCATTCCATTATTTGGAGTGCTATCATTGTGTGGCCCGATGTTGGATTTCATATGATAAGCTGCCTTAAGATTAATTGTGAGTATGCAAATATATATAATTTTATACTATAGAGGTACTTGATGAGTAAAATACTAATATGATAATTGTTGGAATTTATTTATATATGTCTAATATTAAGAGGATGGATTAGAGGATGCTCGTATTAGACTTGTGACACCATCTTCATAGAATATTGCTTTTATAATATGCTTAGTAAATGCTATGTTTTACGCCTTGGAGGAGGAAAGGCGGACACCACAATGCCCCCACCATAACCAGCCCTTTCTACTCTGATAATCGGCGATATGCAGGATGATCAGGAAGTTCAGGAACCACAACCACGATTACGACATCAGCGTTCTGGGGTTGCACGACAAAAGGAAGTTCCTATTTCGAATGCAGTTGAATGTGATCGCGTTCCCTATCCAGTTGCATTTCATTCTTTTGCTACATATACCGATGATATTGGTCAATCATCATTTGCTGGACAACAAATGGATACAAACCAGAATCAAACAAACATTTTTCCTACCCAGAGTTCATTTGATATAACTAGTATTTCTGTGCTCACTCCTTCAGGTCAATGGGTCCTATGGTTGACACATATGCCTAAAATGCCATAAGGTTCTCGGCCTTCCTTAGGTTTGTTTGATTTGCAGCAATGGCAGACTCATATTAATGTTGGGTTTGCACCATTTGCACACTTATCATCTCAGCATCATCCAAGTACACATAAAGCTCCATTCGCATCAAGTGCATCCGACTTCCTTTTCATATAACATCAATCTGACCTAGGCTAAATTCAACCAGATCATGGCATTTCTACAAAATACGAGAGTAGTGATCATACTATGACACAATAAGATGCTGAATCTTTACAATTGTCTGAATCACAGGATTAGAATTTAGATTTGAACATCGCCATATCTGTTACGCTTACTCCAACAAACGAGTCTCCATCAATTGCTGAGCCTCATTCACATACTTATGAACAACGAAGATGTGGAGTTGGGGCTAGATTTGCATGATTACGGAGACCAAATCAGAGAAGACGTCCAACTTACGGTATAGGAGGATATCACTGACTTCATATTTCTTATATAAGTGTACAACTATTTACAGTACTTTGACAATGTTTTATTATATGTAATTAATGGATATTTTCAAATGATGTTTGATGATAATATTTTATTATGTTCCTAAAATTCATATTCTTATTGAACATACATAAAATTAAAATTAAAGTCACATTCCATTACTATAAGATATTAGCAAGATAACATACTCAGTTGAAAAGACAGCTCAACTCCGAGTCACTTGGTCACTATCCGATCTGAACATGTTTGTTTATTCTGGCCAGATTTTCAACATCTTGAATAATGGATTCTTGATGCACTACCGAGCTTGGTAACTTCCCAATCCATCTCATTGCGAATTCGAGATGATTTTGGTCCACCTTTGTTTCGTGTTCATGACACGTCCGAGACAAGTGGCTTACCATCTGCAATCGGCTGATAGTCAGAATATCCAAGGGGATAAAACTGTGAATACTCAAATTTTGAGGCTCAAAAATCCAGTTTTCCCGGCCGCCCTTAAAGACGGCGGCAGCCACCGGCGACAGCGGCTGCAGTCGCCTGTGAATACCCAAATTTTGAGGCTCGAAGAGCCAATTTTCCTGGACTGCAAAGACTGCCTGTCTGTAACCAATAACCTTTCTTCTGGCTCTCTGCTGCAGTCGAGCATCTACAAACCTCTATAGTACTTCGCTTATATTAAACCTAATAAGTAAAACGTTAACTCGCTCGCTTATATATGTAGCTCTTTAGATCAAGGCTCGCTCAAGTCTCCGCTCCCTGTAGCGATATAACAGTGACATAATACTTTACGTCAAGCGTAAGAGCGTAGGCACGCAGAAGCGAATATAAATAGCCCATATAAGCGATATGTTTAAAAGTACGATAGCCAAATCAGGACTTCGAAGCTTAGCCTTGTTGCGAGAGAGAGAACCGATGCGATCACAAGACAATCTAGTTTTGCAATGGAAAGAAAAGGGGGCAATCCGACCCACCCTATAAAGAAGAGAAAAAAGGACTTGTTTACGGAAATCCCCTTCTCCACAACCTCAGCTGCCACGTAAGAAACCTCCCTCAGCAAATCACGGACCAAGCAGAGACTGAAGGGAGCTACCCATTGACACCTCCCCCTCTAAGGCCTCTCTTCCTGCGCTTAATTACGAGCAAGATATGAATCCTCTGTCCCAAAGCTGCTCCGCTCTGGCTCTTCCAAAAGGTCCTCGTCTCCTTCTTTATGGATGAGCGAAGGTACGAAATAAATCAGATTGATTTTCGATCAAAAGTACAATGTGAAAACTCGGTTTTCCTCTCTCGCTATCCCTAATCCATATACAGCGTTTGAAATCAAAGAGAAACCTTTTCTTCTATACTTCTAATATCTGGTAGAAATCGAATATTACAATCCAATCCTTCCGACACCTCCCAAGAAAATCCGAATTGGATCCCAAATTGACGGGGTAGATGATGCTTAATCCATGCGGTTAAGCACTCTTCGAATAGAATCCATTTTCTGAAAGACCTGGCTTTCGTGCTTTGGTGGTCTCCGAGTCCTTTTCGATGACCTCAATCTTGTGTTGAAGGGATATCTATAAGATCGATCGATTGCGTAAAGCACGCGTAAAGCAACGGAAAAGGAACCGGGGAAAGATGCAGAAAAGGACAAGTTCTTTTCTATTCTATATAGGTCTATTATATCGATTAGTATAGTTAGGATCCGGCTCAGTGAAATCCTTTTCTTCGTGATGAACCTGTATGGCAACCAGTCCCTACATCCTACATTATTTTGTCTCTGTGCGACCGAGGAGAAAAGGGCTCAGCGAGAAAAAAGGATGTCCTATGAGAG